CTTTAAGTAAATCTACTGTTGGTTGTCATTGGATGTATGCAGTCAAAGTTGGTCCAGGTTGATCAACTCAACGCACGTCTTGTTGCCAAAGGGTATACTCATATATTTGGGCTCGATTACAGTGAAACTCTCTCCGTGGCTAAATAGTATCAGTCCGCCTTTTTCTATTCATGGTTGTTGTTCGCCACTGGCCTCTCTATCAGTTGGACATTAAGAATGATTTTATTCACGATGACCTTGAGGATGAAGTTTATATGCAGCAACCACCTTGTTTTGTTGCTCATGGGAGTCCAGTGGCCTTTTATGTCAGTTGCGCCGGTCACTCTATGGTCTAAAGCAGTCTCCTCGAGCCTGGTTTAGTAAGTTCAACACAGTTATTCAGGAGTTTGGTATGACTCGTCGTGAAGCTGATCACTCCGTGTTTTATCGACATTCTACTTCAAATCTCTATATTAATCTGGTGGTTTATGTTGACGATATTGTTATTACCAGCAATGATCAGGATGATATTACTAAGTTGAAGCAACATCGCTTTCAGCACTTTCAGACTAAGGATCTGGGAAGATTAAAGTATCTTCTGAGTATTGAGGTCGCTTAGTCTAGCTCAGGTATTATGATCTCACAACAGAAGTATACCTTAGACATTCTTGAGGAGACAGGAATGATAGGTTGTAGATTTGTTGACACTCTTATGGATCCGAATTCTAAACTTCTGCCAGGACATAGGGAGTTGCTTAGCGATCCTGCAAGATATAGGTAGTTGGTTAGTAAATTAAATTATCTTACAGTGACTAGACCTGATATTTCCTTTCCTGTGAGTCAGTTTATGGATTCTCCATGTGATAGTCATTGGAATGCAGTTGTCCGCCTTCTTCGGTATATAAAATCAGGTTTAGGCAAAGGATTATTGTTTGAGGATCGAGGCCATGAGCAAACCGTTGGATACTCAGATGTTGATTGGGCAAGATCGTCTTCTGATATACGTTCTACATATGGATATTGTATTTTAGTATGAGGTAATTTAGTGTCTTGGAAGAGCAAGAAACAAAATGTGGTTGCTCGATCTAGTGCAGAAGCAGAATATCGAGCAATGGCTATGGCAACATGTGAACTAGTAAGGATCAAATAGGTTCTCAAGGAGTTGAAATTTGGTAAGATCAGTCGAATGGAACTTGTGTGTGATAATCAAGCTGCTCTTCATATTGCATCGAATCCGGTGTTCCATGAAACAACTAAACACATTGAGATTGACTGTCACTTCGTCAGAGAAAAGATACTCTCAGGAGATATTGCTACAAAGTTTGTGAAGTCGAATGATCAACTTGCAGATATTTTCACCAAGTTACTCAATTGTCCTCGTATTAGTTACGTATGTAACATGCTCGGTACATATGATTTATATGCACCGGCTTGAGAGGGAGTGTTAGATAGTTATGTAATTAATATGTAATTAGTCTGAGTCCCACATTGAATAGGAGTAGGATATGTATTATTTATAGTTATAAATAGGGTTCATTATATTATAATTAATACATCAATAATATATTTTTTCCCGTGCTTTCTCACAAAATCCAATATCAATATGGGGTTTCTATCCGCACATTTCGTAGTGATAATGCCCCAGAATATTTGTCTTCTCCATTTCAATAGTTTATGAACTCTCATAGGATCATTCATCAAACATCTTCTCCATACACATCTCAATAAAATAGGGTAGCTGAAAGGAAGAAGAGGCATCTCATTGAGACTGCTTGTACCTCACTCATACAATCTCATATTTCATTGCATTTTGAGGGGATGTAGTTCTCACATCTTGTCATCTTATTAATCGTATGCCGTCCTCAGCTATCCAGAATCAAGTTCCATTCTCTGTCTTGTTTCCTCACTCATCTTTGTTCTCGCTTCTACCCCGTATCTTTTGGAGCACGTGTTTTGTTCATAACCTTACTTCAGGAAAAGATAAGTTACATGCCGTACTCTTAAGTGTGTATTTCTAGGTTACTCGAAAATGCAAAAGGGATATCAATGCTATTCATCTGACCTCCAGCGGTGCCTAATGTCTGCTGATGTTACCTTCTTTGAAACCCAGCCATACTTCACAGGTCCAATCGATCACTTAGACATTTCGGATGTGCTACCAGTTCCATCTTTTGGAGATTCAGTCACAATTTCCCCTTCATCTTCCTCCACAGTTTCACTACCTACAGATCCAGTCCCATCACCTACGGGTACAATTCAATCTTCTACAACTCCACTACTCCTGACTTATCATCACCATCAGCATCCAGCATCATGTCCAAATGATTCACGTCCTGTATCAGATCCTTCACCTACTGCGGACTTCTCTCCTTCTAGTCTATTGATCGCACTTTGGAAAGGTGTTCGATCCACTCTTAATCCTAATACCCATTATATTGGTTTTGAGTTATCATCATTTATCATTACCCCATTATGCCTTTGTGTCATCTTTGTCCTCTATTTCTATCCCTCAGTCCACATGTGAAGCCCTATCTCATCCTGGATGGCAACCGACTATGATCGAAGAAATCTCGGTGTTACAAGCTAATGATACTTGGGAGCTTGTTTCTCTACCTCCAAGCAAATCTATCATTGGTTATCGGTAGGGGTATGCAGTCAAAGTTGGTCCAAATGGTCAAATTGATTGCCTTAAAGCCCGCCTCGTTGCCAAAGGTTATACTTAGATATTTGGGCTTGATTGTAGTGATACTTTCTCTCTTGTGGCTGAAATAGCATATGTCCGCCTTTTTCTATCCATGGATATTGTTCGCCATTGGCCTCTCTAACAGCGAGATATTAAGAATGTTCTTCTCCACGGTGACCTTGAAGATGAAGTTTATATGGAGTAACCACCTAGTTTTGTTGCTTAGGGGAGTCTAGTAGTCTTGTATGTCGCTTGCGCCGATCTAAAGCAGTCTCCTCGAGCTCGGTTTGGGAAGTTCAGCATAGTTATTCAGGAGTTTGGCATAACTCGTTGTAAAGCTGATCACTCTGTATTTTATCGACATTATGCTCCAAATATGTGTATTATTTGGTGGTTTATGTTGACGATATAGTTATTACTGGCAATGATCAGGGTGGTATTACTAGTTTGAAGCATCATCTCTTTTAGCAATTCCAGATTAAGGATATGGGCAGAATGAAGTATTTGTTAGGTATTGAAGTCGCTCAATCTAGCTCTAGTATTGTTATTTCACAAAGGAAGTATACTTTAGACATTCTTGAGGAGACAGGAATGACGGGTTGTAGACCATTGACACTCATATGGATCCGAATGATAAACTTCAGCCAGGACAGGGAAAGCCTCTTAGAGATCTTGAAAGATATAGACGGTTGGTTAATAAGTTGAATTACCTCACAGTGAGTGACCTAACATTTCCTTTCTTGTGAGTGTTGTAAGTCAATTTATGAACCGTCCTTGTGATAGCCATTGGGATGCAGTTATCCGAATTCTTCAGTATATAAAATCAGCCGATTACTATTCGAGGATCGAGACCATGAGCAGAACGTGGATACACAAACGCTGATTGGGCAAGATTACCTTCTGATAGACATTCTATGTCTGGATGTTGTGTTTTAGTAGGAGATAATTTGGTGTCTTGGAAGAGCAAGAAATAGAATGTGGTTGCTCGGTCTAGTGCAGAAGCAGAATATCGAGTAATGTCTATGGCAACATATGAGCTAGTTTGGATCAAACAGTTGCTCAACAAATTGAAATTTGGTGAAATCAGTCAGACAGAACTAGTGTGTGATAATCAAGTTGTCTTTCATATTGTATCAAATTTGGAGTTCAATGAGAGGACTAAACACATTGAGATTGATTGTCACTTCATCATAAAAAAGATACTCTCAGGAGATATTATTACAAAGTTTATGAAGTCAAATAATCAGCTTGCAGATATCTTCACCAAGTCCATCACTGGTCCTCGTATGAGTTATATCTGTAACAAACTCGGTACATATGATCTATATGCACCGACTTGAGGGGGAGTGTTAGATATGTTGTGTATTCTTAGTGTCCCATATTGGAAAATAGGTAGTGTGTAATATGTAAAGTGTATGTATAAATAGGGCTCAATGTAAGTAAACAGTTAATAGGTATATTAATAATATTTTCTCCCATGCTATTTCTCACACACACCATTTCTCAACTCATAAAGAAGCGCAACGTCTTGCTTTTCTATTCTCTCTGGTTCTCCACAGCTACACAAATTATCTCAATATATCTCCCCATTTTATAGGCAAAAGAGTGGACCTAAACCTCCTATAGAAAGAAATCCTAGATGGTAACAATCAGATAGAAAACTACAATATAGTTGTATAGCAAATATGAGTTAATTTCAAAATAAGAAATTTCTATAGATGTTCAAAGGCAACAACACCAAGGAATAGTGGGAAAAAGATAAACTAACTAGGAGATTGAGTTTCCTAGTCCCTACTCCAGGTCAAACTTGGAAACTGAGTCATCCAAAATAAATGCCTAGAGGTGTCTCATGTCACCTAAGGTCCATAATCATTCAACGTTTTTTTCTAGTCGAAAACCTTAGGTCCTATATATTAAGAATTTTAATTATCATTACCATAGCAAAGTAAAAGACCCATTCAGATCATTGTGCTAATTTCTGGTTATTTTGGTTTTTCTCCAGGTTCTCTTGTAAGATTCAAGATTCCGCTCTACCAAATAAAAGAACCAGATTATAGGAATTAGTCCTGTGAGAAGGGAGAAAGGGGAAAAACAGAAACAATGTTACCAACCCCATCATGGAGAAGGCATTTGCTTTGCAGGCACAAGGAAAGAATTTATAGAGATACATCAGAGGTTTATTTAACACAGTTGAAGAAAAACTTTCTAAGATTCTTTTTCATGGATGTTTAGATATAAGAAAATGTTATTACTTTCAGTATGAACTAACACAATTCCGTGCAGTTCAAATGTAATATACTGCTTCTTTATTCTGTTATTTAATTCAAATGCAACCCACCTGAAGAATGCGAACTTTGTTGTTGTCTCGTGATAAGATCTTACTGATTGCCAAATTTGGAACTATCCTGCAACAATTCGGGACAAATTAACATTAGTATGACCAAGCCGGAAATTATAATATCTCAATACAAGCAAAGCAGTTAATTTCACAATAAGACGTCCTTGGTTGCAAGATAATATAAAGGCTAGGAATTTGCTTTACACTGAATAAGACTATGATTCAACGTGTTTCTATTTCTAAGCACTTCAAACATTGGATGAATTTCTAATGTCAAGTGCTTGGTTTAGTCTGTAGTTTAATTTCATTTTTACCGCACAATAATTAATTGACGAAGATTTACGCATCTTTAGGAAGCTAAGGTTTGTTCTGCCAGAGTTAGTCAAATGATTCTCTAATACCATTAAAATCTTTTACCTTCACAAGAACCAGGATACAGAGATATTTCTCTAAGCCGGTAAATCTGAAACATGGAATTAAACATCAGAGAGACTTTACTTAAGACAAACTAGAGAATGCTACCCTATATTACTGTTTGCAGCTTAAGAAACTTTTATGTAGCTAGCCAAAGGACATCTAGTGATATCTATGAATCAAAGCAAGACCAAGTTGTCCCTCATTTTTGCCACTTTAAGGCACATCAAAAATATTCACTAAGTGAAATGTAATCATCAGAGGAAACAGATATCAATGATGAGTTTACATGAACAACTTACTTAAAAAAACTCAAACATGATCAGAAGAAAGCCCTTAAAACTTACTCTGGAAGACTTTCATAAGCAGTCAAAACATTCCATACTTCACGAACTGGAGCCTTTACTGTAATACTAGCAACAACACAGCGATGAACACCTCCATTTTCCTTCATCCAAAATCAATTTATCAAAGGGACTACCAAAATAATATGGCTTCGCACGAAAAGGTAAGTCATAGTATAAAGTCTATCAATTACCAGTAGACCATCAAATCTTCGGAGATGGACTTCATCCACCACGCATGGCTTGTCAAGTCTGCAAGCTTTCCCAAATATTCCCCAATTATTACTCACATCACTTGTAGCTGGTGCCAACGGGCCAAAAGTGTCTTTGACAAACTTGTCCTTCAAGTTTTCACTGGAAGATTTATTCTCATGGGATATGGCACAATCAATATCTCTCATCACGGAAGTAAGGGAAGAACCAGGTTTTGCTTTGGTATTAGCACAAGTGACAGAAACACTCTGATCACCTTGATAACTGTTTTCAGCTCTGTAGGACAAGGCTTGAAGATTTACTGGGAGGTCTGACCTGATAATCCTCTCCAAGAAAATGGCAGGAAAGTTGAACCTTGGTATGACACTAACTTCATAACTTAGTATAGCTGTTGAAGACCTGAAAAGGAAACTAGGGCAATAAGAAACTAAGAAAGAACTATGTCTGCATGTAGAAATATGTCTTCATCATAAGTGCACTAGGGGAAATTGTCCTTTGACTCGTTTGAGGCCAATTCTCTCCTAATCCTACCTTATTTTCTGAAAAAGGCATTTGCAGGTTTTGACATTACTATGGAAGACAACATAAAAGGAAAATTAGGAAAAGAGAAGTTCTGTCTGCTCCAATAAAGATCTTACCTTTTTCCAGCTCTCACAGACCATCTGCCTTCAAATTTCTTGAAGTCACCGTCAACCATAGAGAAATGGAGTTCGCGAACATTATCCTAAATTTGGAGAATTTATAAAAGATATTAACCAAATCAAGGAAAATAAAGAGCAATGTAAGAAAACGGCTGTCATCTAGTCATAACCAAAGGAATCTTCAAGGAAATGTGCATTTATCACCATCCTCTCAGCAGGATGCAATGCGCTAGTTCTTATTGTTTTACTGCATGAATAGATTTTATGGGTTTTAATTGTACTACTCATCACAAGAGATTGATTTAAAACATAAGAACAGTCGGAGAATATTTTCTTTATGCCTGTTAAGAATTTATATGATTCGATTTTATTAGGAGTTTATTCAGAAATACACTTACCAAAAATGTATACAATTGTAATTGTTATAATTCCCAATCAAGCTTTTCAGCCTAATACTATGTCTTATGCTTTCTGCAACATCAAAAATCCTCGGTCAATTCCGCTTCCCAAATCCAAACTCTCACCATCTTCCATTGGAGTTGTTAGATAGTAGTGTATATAATAATATACTAGTGTCCCACATCGGAAAATAGGTATTAGTGTTATGTAATGTCCAGTGTTGTCAAAGGCTCATTTAAGGCGCGCTTAAGCCCTAAAGCTCATAAAAGCTCAGGGAGGGCGCTTCGCCTCACTTAAGCTGTGCTTCAGTGTAGGCAAGGCACCAAGACGTGCCCCTTATTGCCCATGAATTCTATCTTGAATGGAACAATGCTAGACTACAAATATAATCGGCAAATAAGTGTATTAGTTGTTAAGGAAAACAATATGAATGAATTTGTTACTTTTCTCTTGAATTTCATATATATTTTTATTTTTTTCTTGCATTGCGCCTTTTTTAACTGAAGCCCATACTTAAATTGCGCTTTGCGCTTAAAGCACCAATTGACCTAGAGCGCTTTTTAGAGCTTTTCGCCTTTGACAACACTGGTAATGCCTGTATATAAATAGGGCTCAGTGCAAGACAATTTAATATATCAATAACATATTTTCTCTCATGCCTTCTCACATGGTATCAGAGCATCAGTGAGAAATCTCTAGTATGCAGTAACCAGTGAGTCCGAGACGGTCACCGTGCCTCCTTTCCGGTGACTTTTAGGGTGCTTTTTATGTTACTTCCCCTCAAGTGGGTTTTCCGCAAAACCTAACACCACCACCAGGTGCAGGAAGCTTCGGCGACCAAACACCAGAAAACCACGCCGGCAGAATCCCATCCACGCGCTTCCAAAACCTCTTTACTTGTTACATGTCTTTGCTTCTCACATGTCTTTACTTGTTTCATGCTTTTATTTGTTTCATACCTTATCCTCTTATGCTATGTTGGATTGTGTGACTATTTGGTTGTTTACGTTAAATGACTGGTTTGAGTCTTTGTTGGGGTATCAAGCTCTCGGACATTGGAATGTTTATCGCATCTTGTTCGTGATCTTCTTTCCTTGTGAATTTTATGTTATGTTGTGAATTTTGCCACACCTGGCTGCTTGTCGGGTATTTCCTTATGAATTGATATTATGTTGGATCGAGTTGCATGCTGCAACGGTATTATGTTGGATCGGCCGATCGGGTTGCACGCCGCAACGGTATTATGTTAAATCAAATTGCATGTTGCGGCGGCCAGTGTTTTTAAGAGCGAGAAGCGCAAAAAAGCGACAAGGGCTCGCCTCGCTTCAAAAGCGAAGCGCACGCTTTATTAAAGTGAAGCGCAATTCTTAAAAAACATAATGTAAACCTTGCAAAGACACAATATAAAATTATAAATAATCAAAAAGTTCAAATTGTCAAAATCAAAGCTACTAAATTACTAGAATCAACCTCTTATTCTTCTACTCTTCTTGTTCTTCTTCAAGATTGTCAAAATCTTGAATTCCTCTATTATCTTCATATTGCTCGTCATCTTCCTCCTCCCCCTCCTCTTCCTCTTCATGATCACTTTCATCTTCATCAATTAGGGATAGGGATCGACTTGTAGTAGCCACACTTTTTCCCTTCCTAATCGAGCTTGAACTTGAAGTATTCCCCCTTAAACCATAAGGATTCTCCCCAACTCCACTAGCAACCGCANATTTTGATGTGGTCAGTGGATGAGTCGCTAGCATCAATGGACTCAAGAAACAAACTTCCCTTGGGAGAATTCACCAACACGTTAATAATCATTTTCCCAGTTCTTGCCGTCCACTTATCTATCATAATGGAGAAGCCATACTTATTCCACACAACTTTATGTTCCTCCACAATTTTATTAGTCTCCTCCACTTCCTTATTTAGATAAGGACCTCTGATTTCATGATAAGTGGGAGGCTTCATTCCAGGTCCGTATTGACCAACGGCCTCAATAAAGTCTCCAAAAGTGTCAGTATAGTTGACACAATTGAAGGGGAGCCCAGCATTATAGACCCATCGTGCAAAAGCTCTAACTGCACGATCCCTCAAAATGTCCTTAGCAATTTTTTGTACATCTTTTCCACCGCTCTTTCCTTCCGGCTTCTTTGGGAAATAGCAATCTATAGGACCTTTACTCCTATTCGTACCCGCCGATCCATGGCTTGAAGAGATTGCATCTCTTCCCCGTTTTATTAGAAGTGACAATTCTTCAATATTATCATCATCATCAAGATTGGTCACCAATGGTTGATGACTCATTTGATTTTTTTGCTCCTTCTTCTCAACAAAATTCTTTATTTCATCCCTCACCTCTGGTGGGCATTTTGGACAATTTGTGACGTTTCTATTGCCACCAATAAGATGGAATTTAAAGCGATAAATTCCACCCGTTGTAATCTTGTTACAAAACTTGCATACAACATTTGTATTCTTCTCATTAACTCTATCGCCATATCGCCAAGCCGGTCTTTATCTTTCGATCTTTGAGACATTTTGAAATCCCTATTAAGATATAAGAAAATACATAATCAAATAAACTGAAAATACATATAATATATATAATGATTAATTTTATAAACCGAAATACACATTAAAAAAATCAAATAAACTAAAATATAACATATATAATTTTCTAAAATGAAATACATATAAAATTAATCAAATAAACTAAAAATATAACATATATATAATAATTAATTTTATATACTGAAATATACATTAAAAAAATCAAATAAACTGAAAAATATAACATATATAAATAATAATTAATTTTATAAACTAAATAATACATATTAAAATTAATAAATAAGAAGAATAAAAGGGGGGAAAAACATAATCTGGACGGGTTAGAGATAAAAGGAAGAAGAAGAAGACGCTGAAGTCTGAACAGTCAACAGTGTGCAAACTGGACTGTCAGAGATAAACGAAGAAGAAGAAGGAAGAAAGAAGGAAAAAAAAAAGAGAAGAAGAAAATTACCTGGACTGGTCAGCAATGACGATGAAGTTGAACCCTAGCTTTGGTCGACGTCGATCGAAGAAGAAAGAAGAAGAAATGGTCAGTTTTTGTCGATTTAGGGTCTGTTTTGTATAATAAAAAAACAGACCCAAAGTTTTTTTCTTTTAAAAAGGGCCCTCTGCGCTTTTTTAACAGAAGCGATCGCTTCATCGCTTCATCGCTTTCCTCGTTTCGTCGCTTCCTCCATTGAAGCGTGCGCTTCCCTCGGTCAAGTCGCCTCAGGCAGCTAGAAGCGACACTGGGTCGCGTCGTGTCGCTTCGCGTCGTGTCGCTTCGCGCTTAAAGCGACGAAGCGATCGCTTTTCTAAACACTGAGAGGAGAAGCATTGACGTTCCTGTTAGGAGGTGTGAGAGGTTGACCCTGGTGGGTTTGAGAACAGGTCGAGACAGACCTAAGAAGTACTGGGGAGAGATGATTAGGGTGTGGAGGTCGAGGATTAGGGTACACGGTTAGTAGGTAGCTGAGAGTTTCCTCATTTTTTACCAGTAGTACTAGTAGCTCGCTTGTACTTTCCTATCTCTCATATCTATATTAAATCATGTTGTTTAGTTTGTTTCAATTATCATATTCTCCTGTTTTTACTATTTTGGTACTACTTATTCTTTTCTCCCCCCTCCCCTCTCCTTCTTTCTTTTTCTTCTTCTTTTCTCCCTATGCTTCTTCTCATCCCTACCTTTCTGAGCCAATGGTCTATTGGAAACAACCTCTATCTTCACTGTGTAGGGGTAAGGTCTGCGTACACACTACTCTCCCCAGACTGCACATGTGGGAATATACTGGGTATGTTGTTGTTGTTGTTGATAATTAAATTTAATTTTAAAATTTAAATAGATCTAACTATGTAAACAACCTCTCTACCTTCACTGGGTAGGGGTAAGGTTTGCGTACACACTACCCTCCCTAGGCCTCACATGTGAGAATATACTGGGTATGTTGTTGATAATAAAATTTAATTTAAAATTTAAATAGATCTAACTATGTAATTACAATTGTGCAACCAAACATTACGTTGTAGTTATGTTATGACAAACAAACAGATCTGTGTGATTATTATACAATATAATTACTTTACAAGGTGTCCTTCCAAACGGGCTCTTAATCATTATTGGTGCTTGATCATTTTCTTTTCTTTGTTTGAATAATTCTTTTCCTAGTTTTTTTCAGAATCGTCAAAATACCGATCATAGGTCGTTTTCACTAAATGTTGACCGTGGTCAACTCATATTGTTTTTAAAGCTAAAAATCATGTTTTCTTCAATTTTTTACATAAAAGCTTTTCAAATAGTGTCACGGATCACGCACGCAAAGCAAGAAACATCAAACGAAGCTAACAGAGGTCTCAGAACACGGAATTAGGGCTAATACTCAAAATGACCTATCGGGTCATCACATAAACCTATGATTGTAATATAAAGGTTATTCTGATTTTAGCGAATACCTTCAACTAAACACATGATAGATTTAATCTCAATACCAGAATACAACCCACTTAATCCCTCCAACCAAAGGGCTTTAGAGTTATGTACCTCACTATAACAAATTTTGGCTTAAGGCCTTGTTAATTTTAGATCAAGTTTAGCAAGTGTTCGGAAAAAATACCTAGCCATATCAACGCTGGCCAAGTATAAATAGAATCATAAATACTATTAGCACACATATAAGGGTTCGTTTGGTAGGGTGTATAAGAATTGTAGTAATATGGTGTATTCGTAATGCTGAAAGTAGTTATGGTAGAATTATTTCTTATTGATTCTTTGATTTAGTGTATTAAATATAACTTGCACTATATAATTCTTTTTAAAAAAAAATATTCGTTTACAAAATTACCCTCCAAAAATGTTGGGAAGGATTTGCAAAAGGTAATTTTGAAAGAGCAGTTCTGTCTTTATATAAATCCTACCAAACGAACCCTAATTGTACCTAACATTAAGAACCTAAGGAATTAGGAACATATGATATTTCCCTGTTGAGCAATTGGATAAGATGTTACCGTAGAGAGATATGCATCTAACTAATTCTGAAATACAAATTTATGATAGTAGATCTGTTGAATAACCATTAATTTCAGCAGACATTTCAATAAGCTGTTAAGATACATATTTTAACTGCATATAGTAATTTTTTTCTAAGAAAACTATAATCTTCTTAATTATTTTATTAACCGTGCATTCTATCACAATCAAGTAATGTAGGAGTAGTAATTAGGACAAATCTATTTTACACTCACCTAGTATTTACACCAAAGAAATATATTGAGGTAAAAATATTCATTAATAATTATAGTTATTGTTAGAACATGTGCAACGAAAGCAAGCATGAACGCAGGTATCACGTACATGTAATCTAGATAATGAATTAATAACCGAGATTAAAAACACTAACCTCTCGAAACTGGTGCACAACTCGTTCAAAGGGCAGGGATCCATGACTGCAATCTTCTGCAATGATCCTAGTTAGCCTTAAAGGGAATACTTGTGTGAGCAAGTATTGCTACTCTAAAGAGTAAGTTTTTGGGGGAAACTAGTGCTCTATTTGTAGCACACAAAATTAAGCTACAAACGTGTACAAGTCTACTAGGGTTGTAGAATCCTAGGCCGAGTAGAGAACTTTTCTCCCAAGTAACTTTCTTCCCAAGTCTGTTAATTTTACTAGGCATAGCATGGACCACAAAATAATAAGAGGCTACCAATTATAATATTAATTAGAAATTTGAAGTGAATTAAATCCTACTATAATTAATCACAGTTTATTCTACTAAAAAACTATAATTGAACTCCTCAATATGAATTTCGAAATTCATCAACACTTGTGTAACTCCCCATGTTAAGATTACAAATATCAGTTAATTAAATTAAATCATTGATAATTTAATTTAATCAACTATTATAAATAGAGCAGAGCATCACTTGCTAAGTAAACGAATGTGACTTGCTGATAAAGAAATATCACATGTCGGCTTGATCTTGAAGTTAGTTAGGATTTTTTGTTACGGCTTAACTAGCATGTTAAATCCTCATTCCTGCAATTATTGTATGCTAAAGCTCTTGCTTTTCCCTTTCATAAAAAATAGTTGCCTATTCTTCCGTGCTTTCATTAAATACATCTTAGTTTTTTCTAATTGTAATTTGAATCTGATACTAAATTTTAAAAAACTATTTTTACTAGCTTAAATGGATGGATTCAAGTGCTGATGTAGATCAAAATATTTAACTTATAATACTGAGTTCACCATAAATAGCAGTTGTGGGTCCACTGCAATTTTAATTTTTTGTCCTGCCACTGCATGATGCTATTAATCCAACAATATGAAATAGGGAAAAGCAGTGATCACGTTTCTTGACGCTATTCTGGATAAGACGCTCCGAAGCACTGTTGCTCTGCTTGCTGCTCGTGGCCGGGGCAAGTCAGCTGCTCTTGGGTTGGCAATTGCAGGGGCTGTTGCCGCAGGGTAAATCTGGTTTGGCTGTTTGGGTTTCAATATCCTTTCCTCTATGTGATCCTACTTTGTGCTTTACTAACTTCTATAGTTTGCTGTTACAGGTATTCTAATATATTTGTAACAGCGCCTAGTCCTGAAAATCTGAAAACTCTGTTTGCCTTTGTCTGCAAGGGTTTCGACATGCTCGAGTACAAGGTAGGATGCAAATATATCTGTTTGAGCAGGGTCGATTTGCATATTCTCAATGAAATCGATCTTTCCCAGGGATGTTTTTTCTCCTTTGAGTCGGCCATTTGGCCCTTCAAGTATTTTTAAGTGAGAAAATGCTTCCCCTGCTGAAATATGTGTAGAAACATAAGCATGGTTTAAAATTTTCTTGAAGTTCTCGTGTAAGGGATTTTTCGCGTCTCATATATAGTTGGTGAGATAGGTTTCATAGAGATTGTAACTCAATATGCTTCTTTCTTACAGGAACACCTTGATTATGATATTGTGAAAAGCAATAACCCAGAGTTTAAAAAAGCTACCGTGAGGATCAACATCTATAAGCAGCACAGACAGACAATTCAGGTCAGTAATATTGATGAGGAGTTTATTCGTGATAATGGCTCCTTCCATTTTCCAAGCTCATTCTTGCAGTGAATAATCCTGGAATCTGAAATCAATTTCTTTCTCCTTCACTTTCTGCACCTTCTGTTCCCTTTGTCCCTGAACATTAGAAGGCATTTTGAAAATTTGCTTCAATTTAGTTCCGCTTGGTGTCTGTATGCTGGATAGATTTCTTGTATTGCTCCATCTCTTGTGCTTCTCTGTTCTCTTAAAAGGTTGTCAATATATTGGTTCCTCTTCTTACAAACATATCTTTTACACCCATACTGTTCATTCTTTGCAAAAACTTCTTGCAAGTATATGATCATTGATGTGCTTTATCATGTCTAATGCAATTACTATTTCTTTTTTTGAGTTTCTGATGTTCTCGACATCATTTATGCAATGTCAGTATATACTACCACATGAGCATGAAAAGCTATCACAAGTGGAATTGTTGGTGGTTGATGAAGCAGCAGCTATTCCATTACCTGTCGTCAAATCTTTGCTTGGTCCTTACCTCGTCTTCCTTGCATCAACTGTCAATGGGTATGAGACAGTGTTCTGCTTAGATTCCATCTAGTATTTTTATTCTCTCCAAAGAACCTATCCACTCATTTGACAATATATGTTGCTTCTTGAAGTTTTGTTCTTACTTATATGACAGAAGAATTATTTCTACAGAGTCTTGTGTGTTTACCCTGGGGTTAACAGAGCTGATAATCATTCTATTCTTGTTATCTTCTTAAAGCTATGAAGGCACTGGAAGATCCTTATCATTGAAGTTGCTGCAGCAACTAGAGGAGCAAAGTCAGAAGTCCAAAAGCACAGATAGTGCACTTTCAGGTATTTTCAGCCCACTTTCTGTAGTTGATCGCTTGAGGTGTGTAGAGTCCATGTGGTCTGAAATATAATTGTATCAGGAGGAACTAGGAAAGCAAAGAAAACTGAGATGAGAGAGCGCATACATTGGGTTGGAAGCTCCTTATAGTTACTAAAAGGCAGGAGATACATCTGGAATTGTGATTGTATTTGTTGAAAAACATAGGCCTTCTTAATTCTTATCTTAATTCATGCCTTAATTTGTGCCTTGGCAATGCACTTTTGGTTGTTAAATTAGATCTTGGGGAATTTTTCTATGACTGGATTTGCAAGTAAAACCAAGTATTATGGTGAATAAGGATGGAGTCTTTCAAAATAAACACTTATAATACATGCTTTTGAAATATTCAAACTCCAAAGTTCTTGCAGATCCACTTGCGAAATTTAAATAATGGAACGTTTTCTATGACTGGATGTTCTAAAGTAAACCCAAGTATTATAATAAATCAAGCTGGAGTTAGTTAAGTGAATGCTGATACTACACCCTTGTCGTTAAAAATATTACTTTTCTTCAGGGCTGTGTTCATTCATGAGAATCTTTCTCTCGGTGTACCTTTGCCTCTCATGATTATCCATGATTGAGTAGTATGATAAATTGTCCAAGGTCTCTGCAAAAGCTTGGTTTTTCATCTAGTTGTTTAAAATCTAAGTTTTCCCATCAAATGTAGGTCGGCTTTTTAAGAAGATAGAATTGAGTGAATCCATTAGATATGCTTCTGGTGATACCATTGAGCGATGGCTTAATGCATTGCTCTGTTTGGATGTTACAAATGCTATCCCAAGTATCAGAAGGTAAATCTGCTTTGGCTTAACCTAGTTCCTGCAGAAGTCAATCATGTTCTATCTCCAGTTACAGTTCTCTTTTTTTCAATCAGGTTACCACAACCGGGTGATTGCGATCTCTACTATGTTAACCGGGACACACTTTTCTCTTATCATAAGGATAGTGAGTTATTTTTGCAGGTAAATCACCTATGCCTTTGAAGTAATGTATTCTTCACCGTTTAGGCTGATTTTTGCCTGCTCAGCTTTGATTTATGGTGACCCTTTGGTGTTGAAATTGCAGCGAATGATGGCCCTCTATGTTGCTTCTCATTACAAAAATTCTCCAAATGATTTACAATTGATGGCTGATGCTCCAGCTCACCACTTGTTTGTGCTACTAGGTATAATTTTACCAGTTGATGCTTCTCATAGAACACGAGATTAAATTTGAATTAAGTGAATGCAAGAGTGCCTATCTAATTGTTTTCACAGGCCCTGTTGATGAGTCAGAAAATCGTCTTCCTGATATTCTCTGTGTCATCCAGGTTAGTGGTCATGTCTGTAGTTGCTATGCAAATGTTCTCTTTGGGATGCTACATTTGTTAGAAATCTTCTGACAATCACTGTGCTACTATTAGTTTCAGTATTCTTTTATATTTAGCTAATTCTTCTTTGCGTTTACAGTTTTACTCTCTCTGCCCCAATTTATGAGACACTCTTTTCTTTTTAGTTTGTACGAGTAACGACACCTTCCTATAGTGAAAAACAATTTTTAACTTTAAACTTCCCATTGTACCCTAAATAGGATGATTTATTGCCATAGAAATGAATGTGGCATGTTTTAGAACACAAGTTTCAAAAGTCTTTCATTTCTTAAACTCTATGCCCAGTCAATTTAGAACACAAGTTTCAAGTCTTTCATTTCTTAAACTCTGTGCCCAATCAAACATCCCACATAAATTGGGATGGAAGGAGTAACTTCTATCTGGTGGTTCAATTGGCAGGATGCCCACAATTACAGTAGTTCCTCATCTTTATATGCAGCCTTCTTTCTTGCGCTATTACGTTAGTGATAGAGAGCAAGAGATGTTTTGGAGGAGAAAACGAACTGATGTATGTTTTAAAGTATAGCTGTTTGCAACATTTACTCTGCTGGCATGAGGAAAATCTTGTATTGAGCATATACGACCTTTTGGACTTGCTAAATTCTGTTTTGACGTAGATTTTGTACAATTTGTGTACTCCCTCTTGGTACCTATTTGGTACTGTTTTCATTAATAAAATTACCTACCTTATAAAAAAGTGATAGAAAAATAGAATATCCTCTACATAAGGTCCTGGTAGTTGATACATGATTGACTTTCTATTTGTGTAATATTTTGGTCCTAAAATGCGAAATCACAACTACAATTGCCTCGGGTTAGTTTTGCCTTCAAATATGTCATCATTATGTTCAAAATATCCAGTTAGTAATTTGTGTTGTTGCATGCGTAGTATATTCTGCTCCAGTCCATGTTTTGTGGTCTATTCAGCTCTAGAACTCTCGGAAGGGCAAAATCTTAGCTCAATTCCTCTTACTAGGCCATGTGTGTTCTTTCTGTCTGGGTAGATTTGGTTTGGAATCTGTAAATCATCTAAATCAGTTGGTTCCAAAGTTCATCTGTATCTGGTCACAATGTTATCTTTGTTTTCTTCCCCTGATGTGAGCTGATCATGTTTTTCTTTTTGCCACTTATTGATCCTCATCTTCTGCTCTGTCACTGATTCTGCCTCTTCTTGGAGGGAGTGCGTGTATTAATGCATTTTCTTTCATTGTTTCTCATTGACTTAATAGATAGCATATTGAATCATCGTCAAAGATCACATTTTTTCTTAAATTGGATTGATACGGGTCTAAATGGAGCTAAATGCCTAATGAGGATTCATAAAGCTGACCTAAAACTAGCTTGGGCTTGATGTGCAGTAGTAGTTTATTTTTGATAAGTCAATCATGTAAGGTTGATTTCATAAGTCCTTTCTGATATGGATAGTAGAGTTTCTGATTTCACCTTAACATTTTCTTGGAATCAAAGAAGCAGCACTAAGAGTTTTTGAGCTGTCTTAATTTAACTTTAACACACAGGTCTGCCTGGAGGGTCAAATTTCCCAGGAGTCTGCCAAAAGAGCTCTGATGGAAGGTCGCCAGCCCTTTGGAGATCAGATACCTTGGAAGTTCTCTCAGCAGTTTGCTGATGATGTATTCCCAAGCCTTTCAGGTGCCCGCATCGTACGCATTGCTACACATCCGAGTGCCATGAGGGTAATGCTTACCAATTCTATGAATTTAGGAAAAATTTCTGAGACCGCTCTCTAGGTTTATTTTTGTAATATTGATCTCCTTCGTGGTTTATGATGTTACTGTAGCCTCCTTATTTTGCCTTAAAAGACAAATAGTTTGGTATTGGAAAGAAATGGTCCTGAATGGAGTGTATTGGATATGAAGGATTTGCGTAGACGATCCCAATTAGCATGGAACAAAGGGGAATTGATTGATTGAATGAATGAAGCTAGGTTAAAATGATAAAATTTCCATACCCCGCAAACTCTATTTGTGCTGCACAATTGGGAAATTGTGGGTAATCTAATCAAGTTATAATAAGAGATTGACAAAATCCTTTGATATAATTGATTTAGAAACAAATTAGTTCACCGAAATTTATTGGAAGAGCAATAATAACTTTCAACTTTAAGAATTTCATTTTATTCTTTCTTGGTAATTTAATTACTATGCTTCATGTACTTAAAATATGGCAGGGGTATTTCTATTAAAATTGCATATATTGTTGTATTTGTCAGATGATGTCAAAAAAAAAACTACAAATGTTAAATTCACTAACACGTGTAAAACTGGTCGAGCCATAAAATTACATCCTAAAGAATAAACTAAAGTATAATTATAGTACTTATTCAAAAACTTTAAGTAGGCAACAAAATATTTATAGCTACCCAAATACAGAAGTACTTCCCAATTGGACCCATTGTCATTGTTAGTTGATCTATTCTATCATGTGGAAAGAAGAATTTATTTTACATTCTTTTATTGTTGAAGAGATTGGTGAAGGTTTCACACCAATTTTGTAGTATAAAGAGAATTTATGGGGAGATTTGCGATAGAAAATTTAGCACTAATAATTAAAGCTGCAAAAAGACAGATTTGGAATATCACAGGAATCTTGTCATCCTAACCCAATCTCATTGGAAAAAAGTTCGAAATGAGGGCGGTGTGCATATCTTACTACAATGAAAGTTTGTGTTTAAAAGCAGACATGGAAGGAGGTTTTTTAAATTATCGAACAATTTATTTCCATAAGTTTATCAGCATGTCTAACCATGTCTCACTGTGGTGTTACAGCTTGGATATGGTTCTGCTGCCGTTGAACTCCTAACCAGGTAGCTACAAATTTCATTGCAATTCTCACAATTTTCGGTTTTCAATATGATTCGGCGGTTGCTTCAATCACATTTGGCTTTTATAATTTGTGAAAGATTAAGCTACTCCATAGGTCGTGCTTGTTATGCATACCGGTGCCACATAATATGTGGAACAACACACACACACACACACACACTCTCTCTCTCTCTCTCTATATATATATATATATATATATATATATATATTCTAACCTACTACACGAGCTTAGCAGGTTAGCACCATCCCTATTTTTTGTTTCCAAACTACCCCTGCCCCTTCTTAAAGTCACTTGATAGAGGTCATGGATGATTATGTCATTTTAGTCCAAAACCAAAAAAAAAAAATTCTAAACATCATAAACCCTTTCTCTCCCTCAAGCTATCATCACAGCTTTTGGATAGCAAGAAGCCTTTTTCTCCCACATGTTGGACTTTAGAGTAATTTCTTTGTTTGACTGTTACCATTCAACAAAAAAGGAGTAATTTCCTTGTTTGGTCAATCATCAAGATTAGATTGTTCATGGGAAAAGAAGAATGTTTATTTTGCGTAGGAGCTCGTCTTAAAAGACGAATATGAATTATCAGGGCTGCCCCCAGTTGCTCTTATTGAATGGACATCGGAGATAGCAACAAGCCTAAGAGTATGCACAAGATAAAACTATTTTAAATCTGCTTCTTTGTGATATTTATGTGGTGGTTGGTGTTGATTGTTGATGGTGATATGAAAGGGTTGTGCAATTGTTGACTTATTCCTTTTACACTTGCAAAATCTGCATAAGTGTGGCTTCCTTTTGCACTTGCAAATTTGCATATTTATTACTATGTATCATGGCTTTTAGGATTTTAGTCTAGGTTCCTATTATTTCACCGGGTATATAATACATTAGTTAAATTATGCAAGATTTAAAGATGTGACATTTTTTATAAGTGTTTTCAGTTAAGTACATGTTACGCTTCTTCAACTTATTAATGGGCTCAATTCATCTGTGTTGATTTTGACATAGTCACAGTTATTGCATATCTTTCATACATGGATCTTCGGGGCACAATAACTTAATTTAACGCTAATAGGTACTTTGAGGGTCAGTTGACTCAATTATCTGAAGTAGAGATGGAAAATGGTTTGGAGACTCCTCAAGTCAGTGTAACTGAAGCTGCAGAGAAGGTATTCTTATTTGATCTAACTTTTGCAATTTGTACTTTAGGTTATTGGTTTTCCTGTTATCATTCGGCTCTTGCAAAAAGTTATATCATTGTCTTAATACTATTTCTCATTGAATCCGCCTTTCCTTCGTATTGATATGGTTTGTCTGCAGACATTGTCTTGTGCATGATATAGTGTTAAGGCCTTATGATTGACCATTTGCTGTAATATGGCAAGTGAAATAGTTGAAAAATCTAGAAAGACTTCTATGTGGAATTAGAACGGTTTTTTTGTTTTTTGTTATTGGATTCAAACTACTTTCCTTGCAGGTCTCTTTGCAGGAAGAAAATATAAGACCGAGAACAGATCTTCCTCCTTTGCTTGTCCCTTTACGTGAAAGACGACCTGAAAGGCTTCATTACCTTGGGGTCTCATTTGGACTTACCTTGGATCTTTTCCGCTTTTGGAGAAAACATAAATTTGCTCCATTTTTCATCGGCAATGCCCCGGTAAGTCTCAGAGTCCTTTGTTCCTTAGATTCTTTTTGATGTTTGCAATTGAGGATTAATTGTCATCAAACATGTGATTGGATGAATCAGAATAGCGTAACTGGCGAGTACACATGCATGGTCTTGAAGGCATTGAAAAATGATGATGTTGAAGCCGCTGGATCAGATGAGTGGGGCTTTTATGGTCCCTACTATCGAGGTGATCAGTTGATTTTGTTCTTCTCGTTTTTTTTAAATCTTATCATCTAAAGGAACTTAAAGGAGATGAGAAGAATCTTTTGCCATGATAAAGAGGAACACAAGTTCTACAATTCCTAATATATGTTCTTTAGCATTTTTCATATGTTCTCTAGTGGTGAGCACCCTCCACTTCCAACCAAGAGGTTGTGAGTTCGAGTCACCCCAAGAGCAATGTGGGGAGTTCTTGGAGGGAGGGAGCCGAGGGTCTATCGGAAACAGCCTCTCTATCCCAGGGTAGGGGTAAGGTCTGCGTACAAACTACCCTCCCCAGACCCACTAGTGGGAATATACTGGGTTGTTGTTGTTGTTGCCCCCTCACTTTCTTATCTCCCTTCCTTTCTATCCACTTCTCGTCAATCTAACGAGCTGCAGATCTTGTAGTAGCTGGTATTTATTCTGTTAGTTTTTTCTCTTCTTTTTTTCTTTAATGTTAGTATTGTCTTCTATTGCTATTTCGATATATTGATGTTGCCTATAACATTCTCAGAATACAAGCGAAGGTTAGTCGAACTGTTGAGTTCTACCTACCGGAGGATGAACTACAAGCTTGCTATGAGGTAAAATTGAACATTTTGGTGGTTAGGTAATATGTATGTCTCTTTACATATGCTTATGATGGCCATAATCTTGCAGTGTCTTTGATCCAAAGATCAACTTTGTGGAGCAGGACCCTGCTTCTTCTGCTTCAAGTGAATTCTTAAACTTCATGAAGTTTGTTCTGGAACCTCATGAGATGAAGAGGCTTGAAGCTTACTCAAATAGCCTTATTGACTACCCCTTGGTAAGATTTGAGTTGATGATTAGTGAGGAAATATGTGATATTAAGTAGTGATGCAAGATCTCATGTGATACAGTTTTTACTTGTCGAAATGACTTAGTGGATGGGCATTCTATATCAACAGTCATAAAAGGGAAAAGGCTAAGAGTACTGTGAGCCACTCAAACAACCTAATTACCACTCCTGGTTAGATCTCAATTAGTGATGAGAGTGAAAATATGCTATATCGAGTAGTGCTAAAAGACTTTCTGGTGGTGCTACTATCAAATTATGCTAGATGTATGTTTCAATATCAACAATCATATGGAGCTTGTGCTTTAGAAGACAACCATTGTGGTAAACATGCAGGAACAACTCGAAACGCCGAAAAGAGCTTAAAGTTGTCATCTTTCCTATTTGAAGCATCATAAATCAACTAGAATTCACTTTTTGACAGATCTGGTGAATGATTTGATAATATCGTTGGTATATGGTTCAAGTATAGATGAAAAACTCATATTGGTACATATTACTTTGGCTAAATACCTAGATAGCCCCTTAACCTTGACACCATTTGTAAGTTAGACGTTCCAACTTAACTAGTGACCAAACATGCTCTTTAATTCGTTAGAAATGTATCTCTTAAAGACACAAGTTAGCAAAACTAAGCGTGTGACCATTACTTGCTGATGATGTGTCAAAGAACGAATAAGGTAAAGACAAGTGTCTTAAAAAGAAAAAACGAAAAAAAAATTCACCCTCCCCACCCCGCTCTAATCTTTATCTTCTTCATTCCAGTAAAAACCAGTCAAAGTTTACTTTCAATCTCTATTATTTGCTTCTGTAAATTCACATGTAAGTCATAGCTATCAATTATTCTATTTTCTTCTCTAATACCTCTTGTCTCTCTCCCTTCTCCTTCAGTCATCCCCTGTCTCGCTCTCTCTGCTTGTTCTCTCTGTTTTTGTCTCTCTATCAGATACTTGAAGTGAGGAAAAACATATATTTTCTTCTGTTTTGCTTTAACTGGTAGATGGAGACCTGAAAGTAAAGAGCTTTTGGCAAACTTTTGTAGAGACTAACTGGGAGAGCAATGCAAAATTTTAAGATTCCTGGTATTATTTTTGATTCAAAAGTAAAAAGAAAATTTACAAAATCGTTTGAGCTCTTCCTAAGCTTGAACTTGACATTTTATTGAGTCGGCTCTGTTTACTATGTCTATAGCTTCACACCGTCCGAATAATATTTTGGCATTTATTTGCTTCATTTTGTTGTCAAAAGATTACAAAGTTCGCTGGATAAAATATAAATACAGGGCTTGGTATTCAGTCGTAGATTGTGCTGTTTAAACAGGGAGAAGAAAGTTTTAGGACTGGGGCTTTTCTTTTAATAATGGTGAAGATGAATTTGAGGGAGATGAGAGTAGATTTGGATTATTGATTTTTTAACTGCTAGAAGAGCTGATTCAGCAGCTTTAAAAAAGCCTCACACGCCTATAATAAATAAAACAATACGCGGTATTCCATGTAGGACTCTTGTGCTTAAAAGACACATTTAAGACGAGTTAAGGTGTCTATCTGGTCACTTCGTAAGTTTATATGTCTAATTTAAAAACGTGCCAAGTTTAAGGGGCTATCTAGGCATTTGGCCTATTACTTTTGACCACAAGAAAATTCTGAACCAAAAATGACATGTGAAATATGTCTCTTATATTTTTCTATAATTTAATAACAGGTGCATGATTGTCCTTTACTTTGTCTGTTTTGTGTCTAGGTAAGGTTGAAGTTCTAATTTGATACATGCGAATAAAATCCAATAATTAGACATTTGATATCTAATGATTCTTTTAAGTATGGAGATCAGAAGGGGATTGTTATCCGATGCATAGAATTAGAAGGACCAATAGTAAAAAATGGGAAAGACATGAAGGGATAAAAGATGTGGCAGAAACAAATCCTTCAAAAGTGCCCGATATTTACTGTAACATCTAAGGAGGACAAAACTACCTTTCTGTTTTTTCCTAATGCAAGCGATGTTTAAATATCTCAAAAGTTGCCGACATTTGTTTTTTTAACTTATTTCCACGTTAATTATTTGCATGAGCTATTTTTTCACAGATTCGAGATGTTGCTCAAAAACTTGCGCGCATGTATTTTTTGGAGCATTTGCCAGTTTCACTTTCATATGCCCAGGCTTCCCTTTTGCTTTGCTATGGTCTGCAGCACAAAGACATCCCTGAAATAGAGGTTTGCTGGCTTGCTAGTCTTTATTTTGAATAGTTTATTCTGTATTGTCAGGCCTGCAGTGAAATACACTTTTTATTTTTGTTAAGGCCACTAGTTATCCGTTATCACATCCAAAATAAATACTAGATATTTTCATTCAATAAAACTCCAGTGTTTTGAGTTTACTCTTTTTAATTCTTATTTTACAGGGAGAAATGAATTTGGAAAGGCAGCAGATATTGTCCTTGTTCATGAAAGTCATGAAGAGGCTTTGCAAATACCTAAATAATCTAACATCAAAAGAAATTGACTCAACTGAATCTCGGCTTAAAGCGGTAAGTAGAGTTATATTTCATTATCCTGAGAGTCCTAGGCTAAGACAAATGAAAAAGTAAAACGTGAACAATATCTCCACGTCATCATGCTGTGTGTCAATTGTGAACATAAGGAAATATTCCAACACTTCTCGTGTTAGTTTATCTCAAGATATGAACAATTAAGTATAATCAAAGAGGCACTTTTTCCGTTTTCAGCTTAAGATGGAACCACATTCTATATCTGTTGATGAAGATCTCAATGATGCTGCAAAGAAAGTCCAGGTTTGAATTTGCTCTCTCTTGTCTCTGCAAGCTTCCCCCATCTCGACAGGTCTCTAATTATCTATGGTCATATCTAGGATGAGATGAAAGCGAAGACGGAAGGTTTGTTGGACCCAGAACTATTTCAGCAATTCGCTATAGTGGACAGAGAAGCTGATTTTGAAAATGCTCTCCAGAATGGTGGCGGAAAGATAGTTCCTGGCGGTGTAATTAGTGTAAAATCCAACAAAAGCAAGTCAGAAAAGCATTCCAAGCCGGAGACTGAAAAGAGTGACAAGAAAAGAAATAAAAACCACTCTGGATCTAAATCACATAAGAAGAGGAGGAGTTGATCTTGTTGACACAATAAGTTCTTCCCTCTCGTTTTCTAATGCCTGCTTCATTTCCTGGGTTGTTTCTCCTATTAATTTATGGCAAGGGGGAGCAGAGCTCGATCATACATCTTGTTGCATATTGCCATCTTAATCACAACCATCACCACTATTATGCAATCATTTATAGGTCCACAGATTCTGTTCCTTCAACCCAATTTTGCAAAATTTTCTCCGAGTAATTCTTTTACTTTGTAATAGGTTAGGAATACTAGCTATCTCGTCCTTCAGTCCATAGAAGCTCTCTCCTTATTGGGATTCTCAAGAATAGAGCGAAGTAGCATTTTTCTGCACCATGTCAAGAATAGATCTTTAAAGCATTTTTTTTTTGGTTCGGTTTGGGTTTATGTATTGGGGTTACTAATTGAATTTGCGCCTCGTTAGTTCCATTAAAGGAGGATGCAATCTTCGTTGAGACCTTTGATTAAGAGTAGAGAGATTATATCTATGCCACCATAATCTGGTAAAGTTGCCAGATTATATCTATACAAATTGGTTCATATTTGACATTCCGATACCATTCTATCAATCCATACATTAATATTCCTTCTTTGTGAAACTCTCCACCTCAAGCCCTTAATTAGTAAATCATGACCCCATAATATACTCTGCCAAATCCAAGACCCAGAAGGTGATACGATGAACATTAAGAAAAATGGTATCGAGAAAATGTTTCCTTTTAAGCACTCTCGAAAGTAAAGAATCGGAATGCATTAACAATTTTCAAGCTTGTTTAGCTAATAAGGCCATGTTAAAAGCCTTTATATCCCTAAATCCTAATCCCCCTCTAGATTTAGAATAAGCTCTCCCCCCCTTCCCTCCCCCACCAAAATTTAGCAAAAAGTGATGCGCTTTTCTTACATAGACAAATTGAGACCTATTAATCAAGTCAAAATGTCGCCATTGAAGCCATTAAGATTAAATTTATTAATCTATTTTGCATGCGTAGCTGGACATTCTAATTCCGTTATGTACGTTTCATACTTCAGTCATCAAAAGTTTATTACCCCTTCATCCTTAATCATTGGTCTAGAGTTCGAATCCTGAACATGAAATTATCTTTGGTAGGAAGTGCTTTAGCCCCAAAGTAGAATTTGACAGTGTGAATCCAAATTAGTCATACCCCAAAATGAGAAAAGCCAAAAAAAAAAAAAAAAAAAAAAAAAAAAAAAAAAAAAAAAATTAAATTTACTGGGTACAATATTATAGGGAAAATCAAATTGACGAAATGCAGAAATTTCGAAGCATTTGCCATTATTTATTAGGAATATTTTAAGAAAAAATAAAAGGAAAAGGTATGCCAAATTTATCTAGAAAAGTTTACTTTTTATCCATCAAAGAAGGTGAAATTCTATGGAAGTAAAGAATAGTACAGTTTGAGAAAATAATGAACGTACCAAATATCTAAAAACAATAAAGAATAGAAGAACAAACAAATTAGTTAGGACGTTATGTCTTTGTGACATTAGTATTTTGAAGATTTAGCATGCACACCCTCCTCTTTGCTGCTCAATTCCTGATACAGACTCTGGTATTCTCTGGAGTTGGCTGCAAAATTTTAAAAGTTTCAATATAAATTAAAATAAGCCATTTATTCAAATAAAGAAAACCAAAAAGTTACGATTTTTTATATTAATAAAAAAAGAAATATAGCTTCTATGATCCACATAATTCCACAAATTAATTAACAATTAGAGTTTATTACGAGGTAAGAGAATTTTTTTATAAAAAAGAATCTCGGTTTTTCTAATATAATTTATATTGCAGCATTATTTGATGTACTCACCAATGTGAAGGCGTTTCTTCATCTACTATTGGCTGCCATCTGGAGTAAATAAAGGGTTCGATAATATTGAAAAAACAAAGAGAGAATGTAATTCAGTAACTTAACAAGAAAAATGTCAAAATAACAAAAATAAAAACTTCAACAATAATAACAACAATGACCATGACGAGCAAGGAGGACAAAGAGTCTAGGAATTGCAGTTTTAGTCCTTTAATAATCACTTAATTAGCTCTGATTTTTAGTCCTTATGCCATTGAGTTTAGATTTCTCAATGGGGGTAGTACTAAGACAAACAAGCTTTAATTTTCATAATTATAAAGAATTGGAGTTTATTATTGTATCTTATATATATTGTTTATAAGTATATATTTCTTCTTACAAATTAAATAGTAGAGAAATGAACGCCGGTTTATATTTATATCGAAAATTAGATGAATTGACCGTTGTACTTGACCTAAATTAGCACATAGAAATGAATTAAATGTTAACTTGATTAGTGCTTAATAATTTGTACTTACATGTTGTGATCATCTTCATTAGCAAGGGCAAGTTGTGCAGCACACAAGAATGCAGCATCCACATTGTAATCCTCCTTTGCTGAGGTCATAAAGTAATGTATATTTCCCCTTGAATCACACCATTCCTTGGCTTTCTTCTCTGAAACCTGTAAATAATACTAGTATTCTTTAACTAAAATCTTATATACATCGACAATAAATAAAATATTATAATATTACTAGCAAGTTACCTAATTTGCTTTCTAGATAATCAATTCTACTTATTATAGGCAGTTATTTTTAATTATATTTTAGATGACCTGCCACTTCCAACCAAGAGGATGTGAGTTCGAGTCACCCCAAGAGCAAGGTGGGGAGTTCTTGGAGGGAGGGAGCCAAGGGTCTATCAGAAACAACCTCTCTACCCCAGAGTAGGGGTAAGGTCTGCGTACACATTACCCTCCCCAGACCCTACTAGTGGGATTATACTGGGTTGTTTTTTACGCTTTCAGTGTCTATAAAAGTTGAAGGGGAGCCTTGGAGTAACGGTAAAATTATTTCTATGTGATCTATAGGTCACGGATTCGAGCCGTCAGCCATGGAAGCAGCGTCGACTATATACATTACATCCTTTGGAATGCGGCCCGTCCCAGACCCTACATGAGTGTGTGATACTTTGTACACCGGGCTACCCTTTTTAATGTTTCTAGAAGTTGTACTCTAAGCAAAAACATAGTATATAATATGAAGAAAATGTGTTTGACAAAAATGAGATGAGAAGAAAAAACTTACTGTCTCAATGCTGCCACCTTCCAAGTCTACTTTATTACCAATCAAGACAAAGGGGAATTTTTCTGGCTCTGTTAAGTCAGCCTGAGATCAATCACATACAAAGAAAGTGAGTAACTGTTTGAAACCATGTAAAAAATGGCTATTAAAAAGGCAGCTCGGTGCACAAAGTATCTCGCATTTACGCAGGATTTGGGGAAGGGCCGTACCTCAAGGGGTGTAATATAAACAACCTACTCTAATACAAACACTAGTGGCTGCTTACACGGCTTGAACCCGTGACCGATAGGTTAAAAAAATGCCTATTATCAACTTGAAAAAAAGTTAATGATAATTAATTCACTCACCTGTTTGATGAATTCTTCATGCCAATGTTGAAGAGTCTCAAATGACTTAGGCACATTCACATCATAAACAAGAATGCAGCAATCTGCTCCTCTATAAAATGCAACACCAAGGCTATGAAACCTTTCCTGTCCTGCTGTGTCCCATATCTACCAAAAATTAAAAGAGAAATAAATCCACAATCCATTTTATGTCAAGCATTATGTGAAGTAATTCTCGATATAACAGTAAAAGCAAGACGTGCAGGTGGATTGAAAAAAAATGTTCAATGTTTCTTGTGGTGCAGTAATCACTTACTTGCAAGGTGGCTACTCTTTCATCAATCTCTAGTTCTTTAGTAGCAAAATCAGCTCCAATTGTCGCCTTGTATTGTTGTCTAAATTTCTTGAAAACATATCTATAATTGCAGTTAATGAAACACAAATTTACAAAAATCCTTGATCAAAACCTTAGTCCATAGTATTTTTTTATCTCTTAAACTTACTTTGAGAAAATCCTCTCTTCCCTTATCAGCCAAACCCTTAACAAATATTTGTAGGAAAAAAAATCATCATATAAATGAATTATCGTCCGATTTAAAAAATTCTGGCTCCACCTCTAAACAACGTTAAATAAAAAGTTTATCCAATGTTGTTGGATACTGATTCACCAAAGATGTCTTTCCCACCCTGAGAATGCAAATCATATCAAAGTGTTAGCAGTTAGCACAGAGGAATAAGAACAAAAACCATGCAGTACTTTCAAGAAAATTAGCAAATGGAAGTCGTGTGTTGCTTGGACTCTCCAAAACTGCTACTGCAACAACGTCAGTTCCTCCAAAAATACACTACTTTTGAAGGATCCAACATGCATCTGACGTCATTTTTTGAAGAGTCCAGCAACATAGCTTGAAATAGTAAAAAGGAGAGGGAAACAAAAGAAAAGAGAGCATCTTTATAAATAAAATGAATAAAGGGTAATGAAGATTCTTACCCACAATCACCAAGAACAATGACTTTGATCAAGCTTCTTAGTGGCTTAGACATGTTCAAGAAACTACCTATTACTTTGTAGTTTGAAATAATCTCTTCAGTTTTGTTTCAAAATTTTGTTATAAAGCTATATTTTTCTGGAGGGTTCAAAAGATATAGGGAGAACTAAATGGAGGACATGATCAAAAGGCCAATGAACATTTCAGATAAGTGTGGCCATTGTGTTTTTGCAATTCTCTATGTTTTGTCTACTCTTTTATGTCTAATTTCTTTGTGGTTTCTGTATAGGAAGAAGGGATTTTAAATTAGCTATGGAAGTTTAATTATTTATTGACCAAGAAGAAGATTTTTGCCAGTAAAGATTTTTGTTTTTATGACTTGGTTGGTTGGTAAAGGAATGAGTCTTTCTAGTTTGATTATATTAAATTAATATTAGGGGGTAGTGCATCCCATGTACAGTGTTGACCTTGGATTTAGGTGATTATGAATTTTGCATAATTGATTCTTCTAGATTCAAGTATTTATTCCATCTTATTCAAGAGAGGTTGTTGACTTCAGATTTTTTTCCCTTTAGGTGTGTTGGGTACGAAAGAAATTGTTTTTCTTGAAAAATAAATGATTTTCTTATTTATTTTTTCAATATTTGGTTAGGTAATAAAAAATACATTTGAAAAATATATACTTTAGGCAAATACTATATGAGACAAAAAGGGTAAGGGCGGAGGAGGGTGGTAGG